AACTTCATTTCCGTTTGCGTCTTTTTTTAGGAAAATATCATATGACGCAATTACGGTCAGCAAATTCTTTTTCAGTTTAATTAAATGCAACCTTGACACGATTTCAGCCTGCTATATACTTTCACTTTCACTTTGATTCTTGTCGTTTAAATTATCATAATTATTATAAATATGTCAAATGAATTGAAGAAGGTCAGGAGTGAAACTAAACTGGTGTTTATTCAGGGTGACAATTATTGAGCTACATGGGGAAAAAAACGTAACTTTAGAACCATTGGCGAGAATTAGTAGAAACTTGGCGGTTTAATGCTGGGCAAGTTGAGATTTTTTTTTTAGCCCTTTAACTTTGTGTTGAAAATATTGAAATACAGTCAACAAAAAAAAACAAAAGAAAAAAGGTACTGGCACACCTATATTATTTTAATTATTTGAGTAACGAAAAGTTCTAACATTTCTAATTAAACTGTGTTACACTCATATTTCAATGAAAATTATATCACATAATTTTAAACTAATAATGATTGATCGACTAATAATTTAAGCCATAAATAAAGAATTTACAAAAAAGCACATTTTCTTTTGCAAAAACTTATATGTATATTATATTGGCACACTCAAATTTACTTACAACTACAAGATGAAAGTAGAATAAAACTTTAAATTCACTAAGACTTTAAATTCACTAAAATTGATTCAAAACTTGTTCTAGGATTAGAGTATTAAGTCGCGTTCATTGTTCTTTTGAACTTGTGTATTTATTGAGTATGAGACCTAAGAAATGTGAAATTCCAGGCTCTGTTCATGAAAAGATAATATGTCTCCGTGAAATATGAAAAAATTATCGGGATATTGGAAAGTAGTTAAAATTGAGCTTTTCAACAGTTCATTCCATTATTTAAAAAGTGGAACAAACAGGATCCAGGAAAAATAAACTTCGATCTGGTCCCTCAGTCAAAGTAAATGACGCGGGAAGGAGGCATGTCCAACTCAAAGTACTCAAACTTAAGCCAAAGATTTTGTTTCAGCTTCTGGCAAGTCTTCTCGCCTACACCACAAACTATGAGAAATGTTCTCCACATGAGTAGTCTTCGGGGTAGAAAGCCAGGAAAAAAAACCCATTGTTAGTGAGGTTAATAGGAGAATTAAGGTTAATAAAGAGATTTGAGTTTGCTCTCACTTATCGAAATAAGCCAATGGAGTTTTGTGGAAGCAAGTTATTTTTTCTGATGAGAATATGTTTGAAATATTTCGACCAAAAAGCATTTTAACAGTTTATAGGAAAAAAAGGTACTGCTCATGATCAGAATAATATCTTGTTAACAATTAAACATGGTAAAAGAAATGTTATGGTTTTTGACTGTATGGCACCTAATGGGATGGGAAATTTGGAAATTATTAATGATAGGATGGCAGTTCTGCCTTGAAGAGGTGTTGCGACGTTACTTGAAAAGCAGTGCTAGAAAATAAGGCCTCCCAGACACTCATATATTCCAGCAAGATAATGATCCTTGAATGTAACAAGGGAATGGTTGCTTTATAATGCACCAAGGAGGCCATGCACTTCCCCACAATCTCTTGATTTGAACCAGATCGAACATCTTCGGCCCCATCTAGAGCAAAAAGAAACCACATTACAGGAAAAAGTTCTTCTGAGTTCATTCCTGGAATAATACAGGGTGTTTATAAAGTCCCGGACTAATTTCGATGTTTAATAACTCATAAAATAATAAAGATAGACTAAAATTAATAACATAAATGGTTAGATAGATTAGAAAAGTTTCATGACCCTTGTCAATAAACTTCCACGTGTGCCCCCTTCGTCACACGGAAAATATCAAGTCGATAGTCAATTTCACGCCAGGTAGCGGCAAGCATGTTGGGGTTTCCACAGAGGCTATTGCGGTTTTAATTCTGGCTTTTAGGTCATCAATGTTCGACACGATCCTCCTGTAAACATTGTCCATTATAAATCCCCAAAGAAAAAAGTCCAGCGGCGTTATATCAGGTGATCTGGGTGGCCAAGGAATTGGACCTCCTCGCCCAATCCATCTTCCTGGAAAATGGTCATTCAAAGAACTACGAACGATGATACCCCAATGAGGTGGTGCACCATCTTGTTGCAAAAAGGCATGTGGTTGAAGCGCTTCTAGTTGTGGAAATACGAAGTTTTCCAACATTTCTAAGTATACGACTGATGAGATAGTCTTATCTGTAAAAAAGAAAGGCCCAATGACTCGGTCGTGCATTAGTTCACACCACACATTAACCTTTGGGGAATCCCTTTGTGTATCACGGTATACATGGGAGTTTTCAGATCCCCATATGCGCACATTATGGTGATTAACAGTGCCAGAAACATGAAAGGATGCTTCGTCGGAGAACATTATGCGCTTTGGAAAATCAGCAGCATCTTCTATCCTTCCTACCATATCTGTTGCAAACGCCATCCTCCTAGGCTTATCGTCCGGTTCCAAACCTTGAACAATTTGAACTTTGTATGCATGCAGTCTTAATTGTTTCTTAATAACCTTGCACACCGTCAAAATTGGCATATCCAATTCTCTTGCCGCTGATCTCACAGATCTTCTAGGATTGTCTAAAAATGCCTGTCTGACACGCTCAACGTCAAAATCACTTGCGCAGGGACGTTCGGGTCAAGGGTCATGAAACTTTTTGAGTCTATCTAACCATTTATGTTATTAATTTTAATCTATCTTTATTATTTTATTAGTTATTAAACATCAAAATGGGTCCGGGACTTTATAGCACCCTGTATTTCACCAGATATCACCAAAGAGTTAGTGAAGTCCACGAAGATTAGAAGCTGTCATTACGGCCAACGGACTGCGTACAGGATATTAAAAAGCAAATCACCAATAATCCAAAATGTTATTATTTGTTTTTCAGAGTGAGCTAGCACTTTTTTTTTCAAAAAAAATATTATTTATGTTTGTTTGAAATTCTGAATTCCGGAAGACGGTCTGAGAAACATCCCTGAGGATCATCCGAAGACATGCCATCAGAATTTTGATCCTCTGCATAGGGGATGGCACTTTTGCTTCGGTAGCCTGAAGACCTGCGTACGAAGTCGAGCACTTTGCGATAAAACAATGTAACGAAGATCAATACCGTATACCCTCGAACCCTACGCAGACTGATCCAAGTGTTCACCCACCCACACACTGACCGCAACCAGTGATGCTCGACTTCAGTGATCTGATGGGAATCGTGTCTTAACGATCCTGCGGGATTTATGATGAAGGTAAATAAAAACCATAGTTCGAATTAGGTTGGTTGATTTGTCTTGTAAGAATTTCAATCAGCTTAATGTGCTAATGCTTTTTTTTGTTAACCGTACATTGTTTCTGAGAGAATATCAAGCACAGAGGTTACGTTATTTTCCTAATCTGAATTCCCGTGAGACTTTTTTGTGGTGCAATATTAAAGGCAAATATTGCTCAAATAACCACCAAAGCTGAATTCAAATTTAGCATTTAGAAGGTAATTTGGAAGCATTGATGTATCGATTTGAGCTTTGCAAATTTTACTATTTTGGATACCACAAATTATAGCTATTAATGTCAAGCATTTTGGCAATTCAAAAACATCTAAATACCTTTAGCAATTTTGGAAATGTGTATAAAATGTTTAAACTCAGTTTCTGAGAAATTTAGCTTTGTTTTGTAAAGATAAATAATTAGCAACCTGTAACATCAAAGCTTGTTAGATAATGGCTAAGGTGTCCAATCCCTGCTAGCTGCGCTCACTAACTTGAGTAATGTAACGTGAGTGAATGTAGCGAGCAGGTGATGGGGCAATTGTATAATATAAAAGTCGATCTGTCACAATGTTCCGTTAAACGTTCTGTTGCGTGGATGTAGCAGGCTCTAATCCTATCTGTTATTCAGTTCGACAATTCGTTATTCATAATGAAGACACAAGTCTGCATGTCTGTGTAGCAATAAAAATAAAAGTAATAATCTGTAGCATGGAAGCAACAGGTTCGAATCCCGTCGTGACCTTTGTGGTGCCTTTCTTTAACTTGAGTCCCACAGTGGACTAATCGTTAAGACACGGTTCCCAGCAGATCACCGAAGTCAAGCATCAACGGCTTCGGTCAGTGTGCGGCTTGGTGACCACTTGCGAAGGAGCTAAGGGCATGCGCTATTGGTCTTCGTTAAATTGTTCTGCCGTAAAGTGCTCGACTTCACGTGCAGGTCGTGTGGCTACCGAAGACAATGTGTCATCCCTGCTGCAGAGGATAAAAATTGTGATGGCATGTCTTCGAATCATCCTCAGGGATGTTTCCCAAACCGCCACCAATAGCCCATTATGCAGCTCTAGTGTGACGTAAATAAACTACTACTAACTTGAGCTGTCTGCTTTTCAACTTGACATAAAACGTATGTTGCTATGAACATACAAGCCTGGGGGCCTCTCTGGCCGAGCGATATCGCCAGCCAAACGCTGTGCAAAGCGTGGAGGTAGCGGGTTCGAATCCCGCTGTAACCCTGGTTGTAATCTTTGTGCTGTCCTTCTATTTGACAAAGGTTTATAGGCCTAAATTGAGCACACAAGCCTGCAAATGTATGTTAATCCAATAAACAATATACACAAGCTTGTATATGCACGTGGAATAATAAATAAATAAATATAAAAATTGGTTTTAATTTAGATATACTGTAGAATTTTAGATATACTTGAAAATATTAAATATACTTATGATATGGAGTAAGTAAAACAATTCCGAAATTGATGTCTCTCTTATTTAGACTCTCCCTTTGTTTATAGTGTGGCATATGCATTTCTTCATTCCAAAGCATTTAACTGAAATACTAACTAAGCGTGAAATTGGTTTAAAAATTGTGTTAATTTGGTATAATTCTAAATTTTTAAATGCGTTTTTCTACTTCTTGCATTGTTTTAAATATTTAAATTTAAAAATTTGTTTGAATATTGTCTATTTGTTTCAGAAGTTAGTCTGAAAAAAACTATTGCAATTTATAAGTAAAAGTGTTTACGTTAATAAACGTTCACAACTTTATTTAAAATGTTCCATGCATACTGTGAAGTAAATCCAGATAAATAAATGGAGCTCAAATGTAATATTTCAAATTGTACTTTTTTATGAATGAGAAGCCTTCAAAAATCAGTTGACAGATCAAGTAAACAAAAACCACGCAATCTGTAATATAAAATTGCCAGTGGTCCACAATGCTGCACAGGGACATTTTTAAATTTTCGACATTATTTTCAGCATCGGTGATTCATAAACTGTCCTGGACGTGAGTATGATAAGTGATTTAAGATTAATAACCTGGGCACCAAGATCTCCAAGCCTGTAGATCATTTGAAAAATGCTTTTTTTCTTAATGGTCATAAAGTCATTAAATCAACACAATACTCATTTAACAAAAGCACACATTATTGCCAACGGTAATGATGTGAAAAGTCTATCTCTAGAATTTACTATTTTTTCTATTTTCTTAAATTTCTTACTATTTTTTTTTTACTATTTTTTTAAATTTCTTCGAAATTTAGGCTAGTAAATTGAATTATATTTTAATTTTTTGAAAACCGGGCAGAAAATGTGATTTTTACTCTTAAATGAGGCAAAAAATTTATACAACTTTAATTTAATATTTAATTATTCACAATTGTTACATAAAGTGATAAATTTTTATTTTTAACACTTTTTTACGCATTGTAGGATATTTTTACAGTGTGTTTCTTCTTATTTTGTTCTGGAAAAAAAATACACAAAACTCAAATAATAAGATATCTATGCGTCATAAAACTGTCCGATTAGTTACTTGAATCGAATTCCAACCTTTCTTATAATTTTTCATTAGAATTGAAAATTCCGACAAACGAGGATTAAATCAATTATATTTTTACATAGACAATCATCTTAAGAAAGCATGCAAGCACCAAAATAAGTCATAAAATATTTCTTTAGTGATAAAATTGCTCCAATTGTATCCAATAGATTTTTATCAGAAGGGATGTACGTGGTATAATTTGTGAAAAGTCCCGATTAAATACTGAAAACGCACCTTCTAGGTTTATCGTCTAATCAAATCATCTCGAGTGCTCCAGAAACTTTTAAATAAGTAGGCAAATTTACTTGTCTCAAACCTTTTTTAACTTCAAGAAAACACTTTCAATACAGGTAAATATTGAGAAATCAAATGCATCTAAAATGTAAACACAAACCTCTATTGTGATCGTCAAAAGAACGCATCTTGAAGGGTTTTATTTTTCAAATTATGAATATATTTTTTGTTTTAATTCGCATCGAATATCTGTTTTTCAGAGTCCAGTTTCATAATTTATTGATTTAGTGTCTTTCAGACAAGATTGTTCTCCTTTCCTTATCTTTTTCTTAGAAAACTACTGATTTTTGAATGATGCTGAGACTGCTTTTAATGATACTGTCCCTTTTTACTACGCTTTTATTCTCTCGCTAAAATATTTGTCAGGGTGAAATCTTGCGAACGAAATTTAAACAAATTTCAACGTAGTTAGGGCCTGAAACCATCACCACATCCTAGAAGAGAGAAGGCCTTCGCACGGATCACTTTAGGAGTCTGAAGGTACGAATACAAACTGCGCTGTGGGGGAAATAAAAACGATGTACTAATGGGTTGCATTTCTCCTTTATTGAGGCCAGTGTGGAGGCCCTCTACCTTCTTGGCGGTGTTGCTGGAACTTCGTATCTGATGACATTGCAAGTTTCAACCATTTCCTAATCTCTATAACTAGAAATTTTTTGTCATTTCTCTTTATCACCACCTATCACCAAGTTTATTCTATCACCAAAATGTTGTTGACCATTTTCCCACTAAATAGTGTTCTTAAATCTCTTTTGAAGCTCTACTGTTTCTGATGACACTATAATTTTCGATCATTTCTTTACTGTTACAAGTTGATTTTATTGCTACTGCTAACAACAGGTAATTTTTCATTAAAATTTCGACCATTGTCGAAACAGTGAGAATGTTTAAATTTTAAGTGGCGCTTTGCTCTGGATGATAGACAGCTAAAGACAGAATTTTGTCACCTAATGATCTCCAAAAGAATAAAAATTCAAATTTCACGCACTTCCTAGCTAGTTAGATTGTTCAAAACAGAACTTGGAACTCTGAGCTGTTTCAGTTATTTACTGACAGAGATATAATTCTAATCTATATCGCCAACAATAACTTAAAATCAAACTTTCGATCTCATACCAACTAGCTGGAATGCTCGAATTTGACTGATGCTAATGCAAATTAACTTAAAATTGTTTCAACTGAAACAAGCAATATTTATTGCAATTTTAACAATAATTGAAATTTTGATCACTTATAAACATAAAGTTAAATAAACAAATAGAAACCATGTTTTTGCTGTCGGTCTGACAAAAATAAGATTATCTTCTACTTTTTTAGTTAACTTGCAAAATACAGTTTTTAAAAATTTTATTTGCCAATGTTTTTAATATTATTTTCCCCTTTACTTTCCAAACTACATCCAAACTCAAACATATTGTTCAGAACTCAGGTTCGAATCCAGCTGTTACTCTGGATGTATCTGATGTATCTTCGTGCTGTCCTTCTCTGTATTGCACTCCTTCTATTTGACAAAAGTTTATAAGCCTAAATTGAACACACAAACCTGAAAATGTTTGCCCAATAAAACCAAACCAAAATGCATCGTGGTTACCAAAGTTGTACCGTAACATAGTACCATCTATGGACATCGAGCATCACGAAGTCTATAGCGTATGTTAAATTTTTCAATGCGTTTAAACTTAGTATTGAACATACGATGTCTTCTCAAATTTTTTTTAAAAAAACTTTTTATGAAAAAAAATTGTACATTGTAGGCAGCTAGACGTGAGAGTGAAAATGGCTTTGCCCACTCATTACAAGGAAGGTGTGACGATTGCAGAATGGAATCCAGGCCAAGTGAAAAGAACTTTTTTATCAGAATGCATTTTACGAGTGGACGTAAAATTTAAGAATTCTATGGTTATAAATGGAAGTAAGCATAATTTTTTAATTTGCTAATTAATACAAATGCATTTTCGTAGCTATACGATAGTAGCTCGGGTTTGAGTGTAACATGAGCTCTTTCCTGGTTTGAGAATCCTTTTATAAATTGTTCTGATTTTAACTTACAGCTTAAATAGCGTCAAAAATATGTCTCAAAAATGACCAAAGATTTAAAATAAAAAAAAAGAAAGAAAAAAAAAGAAAAAGCTAAAAGAAGTTAAATACATAGTTTGCTGCGTTCTGATTTGAAAACTAGAACGCAGATCTTTCACACTTCGATCTTTCAAATCAAAGCTTATAAAATTAGCAACAAAGTTTTTTTAAATTTTATAACCGGCCATGAGCATCAGATACGATTTTGGGTTTACAGTTATAACCGTTCAACTCCGTAGCCTTGTACTTTTGAACTCAACCTAAAAGACGAGGGAACTCATGTATCAAGCACTCGGGGAGACTTCGTGATAGAATTAATACATATTTGCTTTACATTGCCACGTGAGATTCTAATCCATGATCCGCCTACCACTGAGGATATTTTACGTCAGCACTGTGGTTGGTGCGATCCGGGAGGTTCCGAATAAATAAACTTTTTCTGGGATTCGGATCGGGGTCACAACGTTGAGAATCGGGAGGGAGCTGTCTATTCCCTAAGCTATTGGAGAAGAGACAGGCAATCTTAAAATCTTTAGAACAAAATTTGAAAACAAGGCATGTGCCCATGTAATTGATTTAGTTAGAATTTAGTTCATAAACTTAACTCTACTTTTTTTTTCTCGTAATTTTGAGTTTTTCAAAAATTATTTAAATTTTATGTGCTTTTATAGCGAATTTTTCTCACTTTTTTGCTTAAAGTCGTATTTCGTTTCGCTGTGCAAAAACCAAGAAACTAAAACTTACGAAATTGTGTAAATTGTACAAGGAGTGCGTTTTGGAATAAGGAAATAAAATTACGATTCGATTATTAGTTCGAGAATTACCATCTGTTGAAGTCGTACTAAAAAAAAAAAAAAAAAAAACCCATGTAAACCGACCTACAGTACGTTGAAAAGCAACTATAGAGTTGGAGTTTGAAACATTGAAGGAGCCATTTCCATTTATAAACTTAGCACGAGTTTCTTTTTTCTTTCGAAATAGCGATTTCATCGAAAGTTATTGCAATTTTTTTGCTTTTAATAATGAATTTTTATCTATTACTGTACAAAGATTTTATTTAATTCTCTCGCGATCTTTATTTTAAAATCTCGCACTTAGTTTGATATCAAAAGTAATAAAAATAAATACATGTAGCAAATATAACAATCAAATATAGAAAACAAATAAGTAAAATAAATTTTGCCATTTAAATCGAAATTTTTAAAAACCTAAAAGACTCAAGAGAGGTAAAAACAGTTTCCAATTGGAATTGTTGTATCGTGTAAGACTATCGCTATAGATTCTTCACAAGTAAAATTATTCATAATAATCTTAAATAACTTATTGTCACATATTCTATATTCCAAAGTATAAACATTTCTTTTCATGTCTCATATTTTAATCGTTCATTTCATAATAATAATTTCATTATAATAATTCATATTTCATTCATTGCATTTCATTATAATAATTATACAATATATGAATTAAATGGTATTTGTTTAAAGAAAATATCAATTTTTTAATAGGTTAAAAACACTGATGAATGAAAATCAACCACTGGTATAGGTGAGGAAGAGATTAGGGTGCAGCTTACTAATAGTATTATTAAAAACAAAATTGGAGCTTTAAATTTCCTCGATTAGCGGACTTCCCTCCCTCCTTTTCGCTGAAGATTGCTTAGCAATCTTAAATGGCTTCATTTGAAAAGTGTTCTTGAGCAGGAATCTTAAGAATTCAAATCAATTATTAAAATTTAAATAAAAGTTCCCTTTCAAGAATTTAAAACTTTTAGTCAATAATAAGCTAATAAAAGAATTTTTTTTAAATGAAAATAAATGGCATGCATTAGAAAAACTTGCAGAAATAAAATTATGATGGTTTTAAAAAAGTATTAATATTAAATTTCCATTGCTTTATTAAAAGCACAATTATAAATTTCAGAGCTTTGAGTTTTTTACTATAAAGCTGCCAAATGATCTATCCATCAGGAAATTAAATTGAAATAAGTAAAATGTAATAGAAAAATTTGGTGAAACTAAGCATTAATTACGCTTTTACAAAACAATTACTTTTCTATGATAGAACCCTTTGTTGATAAGAACTATTCGATTTTAACCTCTCAATCCCTCACAAATTATAGCTAAGTTTGTTTCAGCTTTTCGTTGTCCTCCACGCGGGAAAGAATTTTCAATTAGAAATTTGTGAACATGCAAGTTTACGCTTTCACATCTGTGACAGCTTACGCGCTTGATGTTTTAATTCTCTATCACCAACGTGAAAAAAAATTTGGACTTTGATGTTGATTCCGGGATTGCATGGATACAAAACTTTGTATTGCTTAATAAATAACTTTGCATTTATTTTTTCAGGGTGTGTACAGCAGTTTTCAAAAACTGAAATTAAACGCACTGTGTCTCGACATTTTATTTCCACAATCAAGTACGAAACTAGTCGCCAAGACGTATCATACATAACTGGCATGTCTTGGAGTGTGTAAACTTTGCCGTCTGAAACTCCAGGATTCATTGGCTTTCTTGCGAGCTGCAAAGTAATTAAGAAGATTAAAAAAAAAATTGCTTTCATTTTCCATTTACGCGATTTTATCTAGCCAAATATACTTCTATTTTTAAATCTTTCTTTCCTTTGAATAAAATTTTATTTACATAAATATGTGAATGCTTTAGTAAGACTCTTACTTCAATATAAACTTCAAAATATCCCATCCACACTGACTAGATGATTGCGCTCATACTGGTCCACTCACAGAATTCTCTGAGCCATTGAGTTCAGTATGTTTACTCATTACCTGCCAAGGCTGCGTATTTTTTCTTGTAGTAACTAGAAGTGCACTTAAAGTGTCTTTAAAAAGTGGTAGTAATAAAGGTAGGTATTTTAGAATTTTAACTACCACTTGATTTTTTTTATTAAATAATAACAATCTTAATATCGCATGGTATAAAAGGTATTTTTATCATTAATATATTATGGTTGAAACGAATGATTTGTTTTTCCTAGATAAATTCTAAGAATAAAATAATTAAGTTTCTAGTTATGTCCCCGAAATTGAAAAATAGACAAGTTTCGGCATTAGACATTCTTCATAATTAGTAATTCTACAGTAAGTTTCACCCATGCGATGCTTAATTTTTTTTGTTTTCTTATCACCGTCGTTGAACAGTCGACCCGATTTTGAGTTACGACTACAAATTTTCAACTCCGTAGCCTTATAATTTCGAACCCAATCCAGAAGACACGGAAACTCTTGGAGCAAGTAATTTCGATTGTAGAGATCTTTTTGATGGAATTAACTCGCAATTGGATTACATGGAAAGGAAAACATCCTACTGTTAGCCTGACAAGGGGACTTTAAAACCTGATCCGTCCACCCCTGAAGATATTTTTATAAGTCAGCACTGCATACCTGCCAACTTTTAATCCTTTCAAGGTTAATATTCCCCAGTGGTAATAAAATGAAATGTAAATTACAATTTTAGGCAGAAACATTTGCTGTATTATGAACAAGCTTATGCGGATTACTAGAACAGTATTGCATATTAATGTATATGCTTAATTTTTTAAAAAAATAGTGGTGAATTAAAAATATTATAAATTAAGTTTATAAATGCAAGGAATGTATAGAAAGCATACATTTTACTACCACTTTAAATATAAAAATAAAATTTTACGCCAAATGCGTAAAAGTTGGCAGGTATGGCACTGTGGTCGGTGCGATCCGAGTGCAGAATTCTTATCGACCAGCCATCGCTAGAAATCGGACCCGGGTTACCTCATTGAGGTGCGAATGTTCTATCCGACCTCATTGAGAGCTCAGTTGGTGATTACGAGTAAAACCAAATGTTTGTGTTAGACTCGCGTTGAATTTGGGCGTTAAGAAATATGCTCTAGTTTCCTTTGCAACGAAAGCATTAGGGAAAATATTTTAGCTTTAAATTATTCGTTAATAGATAGTTTGATTTGGTGTTGAGGAAAAGCTGCGTTTTTATTATATATATTTAGGATGCTTTTAGTTTAAATGTTGGTTTGTATGTAAAATGGTCGTCGATGGAGGTTGGTCGCTCTTAGAGGTTTCCCCCACTGACTTCAAAATTGTAATCAAAGGTACGTGATTTTTTGTGAATGATTTTAATTTTGATCAGTGTTATTTTCTCGAGAGACTCAAGAGGAGACTCATGTTCGAATTCCAGCGGGGGCTGGTTGTTACGAATACTACTCCCGGCTCGCACTGACCACAAAGTTGACGTAAAATATCCTCATCGATAGACGTATCATGGGTTAAAATCCCTTTGCGTCTGGCTAACCGTAGGAGGATTTAGTGATTTTCTTCATGTAACGCAATGCGGGTTAGTTCCATCGAAAAGTCCTGCACGAAGACTAGTTTGTCCCAATCCTTGAGCCGAAAGTTCCCTTTTCTTCTGGGTTAGGTTCAAAATTACACGGCTGCGTAGTTTAATATTAATAATCGTAAACTTTTTGCTTCCAATTCTTCTTCGTTACATTCAGGAAATTTTTTTCTTCTGTCCCTATTAGTCGTCAATGTTGGCATTATTTTCCAATTACTCGTAAACTTGTAACAAGTAATTCATTCTTCTACTAAATTTAAAAAGTTTTATCCTTATAATATAATCCTTGAAAGAAGACTTGTTAATAGCACAGCAGTTACAAAAGAAACATAAGTATACGTTGCATAAAAACTTAGATTTATTTGAAAACCCCTACATCTTTTTAGAATGTAATAAAGATGTAATAAAAATCATCAAACTAATTATTTCATGATTCATTAATGACCCCAGCAAAAAAAGGTTTTCAAGAACATCCCTGCCCCCCCCCCGGAAAAAATCAAGACTAATGTTTTAGTTCAACATGTGCTACTCTTATTACGTAAATTGTAAATTTTACTCGAAGATATACAGAACATGGCTGGAAAGAATTATTCTCACTTAAACAAAAATCTGAAAAATAAATATTCCCCCCCCCCTCCAAAAAAAATTGAAATCGAACCCTTAACCTGAATAACTAAATCGTAAGTAGTAAATGTGCTTCTCTTATTTGTTATTTTTTGTAAAGGTAAAGTGAAACATTGATTATATAATAAAGTTGGTTGGAAAACCATTCTCCACTAAAAAGTGATTTTAAAATATTATCCATTTAAAATTATTTTTTTAAGAAAATTATTAATACATAATTTTTTTTACCATTTATTAAAGCTGTAATTAATTTATTATTATTAATATTTTATTTCTTATAAAATCTACATCAGTCAAACTTTAAACTGTGAGCTGTTTTTTATTTAAATTTATTTATTCATTATTTAAATCAACAGAGAGTTTTGGTGATGAGTATTATAAATTTTAAAACTTATAACACAAAAATCAGTAGCCTGAAATTTTAAATTATTTTGCAAGATCGAGGCAATAAATTGTGGCTTAAATTTTATTTTATATTTCATCCATAGAGAATATTTTATCGCCAAGGTTCTACGAATCAAATGAAGAGAGGAGTTGAGTGAATCGACTTGGTAAACAAAAAGTGATTCAATCACTGTCTGAATTCTTTGCCTATAAATATTTGATAGACCTTGACTCCGAATATTTATGCATATGTTTTCTTGGTTTTTCGTCGCTTCCGGAGAAAATGAAACTGAATTTTAAAACAACTCAACTCACACGCAAGTTCTGTTAAATGACATTTGCTTCAACCGCCCTTGGTATGGCAACATTAAGTTTGTGTTTCTATGGTTTTGTTTGGTATCGTTTTTGAATTTCAGTTGTCACTCGATTTATGCGCTGAATTTTTTAATACAATTCATGTTAAAGTTTCAGAAAATTTCCTGTTTTTTTGTAATTACTTTGTGCTCTTATGGCTTTATGTTATAAATCAAATAATTCTCTATGTAAGTAATTAAAACTAGTTTTACTTATAAAATCTCTGCTTTTTCTTTATTCTCTTAATTAGCCATTCTTGAAAATTCTTGTACTCATATTTAATTATGTTTTAATAATCTTTATATTTTTCCAATTTAAATTTTTTGTATTCTTCTTGATTTTATTTTCATCTTTTTTCGATTCAATGTATGTATGCAGACGACAATGAATACTGGCATAACGTATATAATATTCGAATGTTACATGTCGAATTATTCTCATTTTGTTTAATTAATTTTGAAGAATTAACTGTAGTAATTTATGATGTTTTGATGAGCTTTATATATTTTGACATAATAAACTTTTTTTTTTAAAGAAAAAAAATTAAATTTAGTGTATATTTACAGGTGATTATAAAAAAAGCATGACATTCGAATCTATCACAAAGAAATCGCGACACTCGTCGCAATCTATGAAGGTAATCAAATTGAAACTTATATTGATAGTTGTGATTTATTTGGTTTTATATCTGATAAAAATTACTTAAATTTTTAGAAATTTTATATTTATAATTGAGTGTTTCCTATGAATTTTATATTCATCTATCACTATGAACTTTTCCTATACTAAGGGATTTTTCACTAGCCTGCAATTGTTAACATTTATTTTCTTTTTCACCTAAACTTTTTGATTACTGTTTTAAATTCATGTAATAAGTTTATTTGTTTTCAATAAAAATTTAGTATGAAGTTTTAAAACTTGTCATTTAATATTGAAAACTGTTGAAAATATCTAAAAATTTTACAAGCACTGTTATCATGAAAGAATTGTGTTTTTTAGTTAAGCTTGGCTGTGCAGATTTCAGTTTAAAGTGGTCTCCAAATTTTGGTGACAACTGGGTAGTGATATGGGAGAAACTAAAAAAATTGCAATAAAATGGGACAAACATGAAGAGTGAAACCAGTAGCCACCTCTAAAAAAGTCGATCTATAGTTTTTTTAAATTTTTTATTTTATTGCTAGTAATAGAAACAAGTGGTAACATAGTTCCTTAGCAGTTTTTTAATTGCCTGATCAAGTACCATTATGAAAATATTCTCCTTTTGCTTGTCAACCAAAACAATTGTTATCAATAATTTAAAGTAAATATTGGTATATCAGTACCCGCAAATCTTAGGGATGATCTTTCAGTACAAGAGAAATTAAAAATACATAAATAATAGAATTGGGCCAAAGAAAAAACTTATATTCACCTCCAAACAAGCTGCTATATAGCTTTTTTTTAAGTTTATTTTAAATTAAACAGTGGGCAATTTCAGTTATGCTTTGTTGGATTTAGGTTTTGTTGGATGTGAACAGGTGCTAATCGGAGAAAAACCCCATAATTTTTGTTCATTGATACTTACGTATTATTCATGTTTCGATTATAAAAAACGCCTTTAGAGTACAGTACTTAACGTGCTAAAGCTTATTGTTTTGATTTTTTTTGTTTTGTATTCAGTATGTCATGATATACTATAGTAAAAACAATTTATTAATGAAACAAATTGTATTATTGATGGAATTTTTTAGTTTTGATTCCCTCATTCTCATTTTAACAAGTAATTTGTTTTAGATTATAAATGATCCTGTTCATGGGCAAATTGCTCTACACCCTGTTTGTATTGCTATAATTGATACTCCTCAATTTCAAAGACTTCGAAACATCAAGCAAACAGGATTTTTAGAATATGTTTATCCTGGCGCAACTCACAATAGATTTAATCATAGTTTAGGGTTTGTATTTTTAAATTATTATAAGTGTATAATGTTTTTTAATGCAATATTGGATCTATATAATTTAGTATGTATTTATAATAACCATTTTGTTTATTTCATGATCTAGAAAATCATTAAAAATGTTGTAAAAATTGTTATTTTTCTTTTAAATGTATATATTTTGTAAATTTTTTTTTATTGAGAGATTCCGATTTAGAATAATATTTTCATTCTAAAATTACGTTTAAATATTAAAATAGCTTTCATTTTTTATTAATGTTTTATTGATTTCTTGAAAAACATGTTTTTAAATATCTGCTTTCCAAGACCATAGAAAAAATAAATATGGAAAACTCGTTTCAATGATCTTCTTTTAAAGAGACTTTTTTTCTGATTGAGAGATATTTTGCAGAAAATATTGAGTGTTACAATAAAACAAAAAAAAAACAAAAAATATTTAAAAAATTTTGTATTAAATAAAATTGTCATATATGCATAATAAAAGATGCACAGGTCATCAAAATTTAACCATTAGTATAAAAAATTTTTTACAATGCATATTGTTTAATTATCTTAAAGATGTTTTAAACTGTTATTGAAATTTTTATTGCTAAATGTTGTTTATATTTAATATTTCATTGGTAACGACAAAGATATTGGGGGTCATCTGGCTTTAGAGGGGAAGAGAATCTAAAATCTTCCGTTTCATTTTCTAGTTATGTACTTCGTTCCTTTTTCAAACTTTTATCCGGTTAACCTAAAAAGTGATTGGGATGTCTATTTTGAAATTTACATTGTGTGTAGTTTCTTTTTAAAAATTAGGTTTAACAAATTTATGATATACTATTAAATGTATATAAGATGCCCTTAGAATAACAGCCCCTCATTTGCTCTATCGAAAACAATGAACAAGATAAAAAAACATTCTGATGCTGTACTATTATATTTTTACCCAAATGTAATAAAAATTTGTCATTATGTAGTTATTTTGATTAAAAAGCATTATTTAAAGTTTCAAAATCTTATTCAAAGCAAATTTTAATAATTCAATGTGTGTAAATTTCAGTTTTTCTATAACCTAAAACTTAAAAAGATTTAGAAAAGCCCCCTTGATATGATATTGCAAGGTGGGGCAAAAACTGAGTTTTCCCTCGAATATTGTAAACTCTAACTACCGTAGACAATTTTTATTGTTGTCAATTTAGAATTATTTTAATTATATTTTTAAGCTATAAATATTTCTNTCATTATGTAGTTATTTTGATTAAAGAGCATTATTTGAAGTTTCAAAATCTTATTCAAAGCAAATTTTAATAATTCAATGTGTGTAAATTTCAGTTTTTCTATAACCGAAAACTTAAAAAGATTTAGAAAAGCCCCCTTAAGTTTGATATGATATTGCAAGGTGGTGCAAAAACTGAGTTTTCCCTCGAGTGTTGTAAACTCTAACTACCATAGACAATTTTTATTGTTGTCAATTTAGAATTATTTTAGTTATATTTTTAAGCCATAAATATTTCTCTAAGAATTCTAAAAAGTTTTTTCATTTATACTGAAAAGAGTTTATTAAATGTATTAACAATGTTTCCATTAAATATGCAACAATGGTTGTATTAAAATGTTATCTATGAAATAATCCCCATATTTCTATCTATCAATAATTTAAAAAAAACAATTTTACATAGTTATGATCTTTTTATTGACAATTCTGAGTTTAAGGCAGAACTATACTTTTTTCCTGCATTTTTCCTCCACATTTTTTTACTATGTATTGCAAAAAATAGTATGCTTTAAAAACGCATTTCTACTATGTAGATTTTCTCTAAATGTGATACATTGTTAAAAAATTATGGAAGTTGTAATAGATTTACAGCTTCTTAATTTTTAGATCACTTTATCTAATTTTAAAATAATACTAATCTTATTTCAGTTAAAAAAATTTTTCTTTACTTTAATTAAATATTTTTAACTTTATTATTGAATCTGAATTATAGCTATTACAGCACTCTAATGTAAATGGTATTCAATATTTAAAAAAAAAAGAAAAGGTGTTCGGTTCTAATTAAATTGGCTAGCCCTTCTATTGATCTGATGTTAAATCATTTTTTTTATGAATCAACTTGAGTGAGGAAATATATTATGTTTTATAGCTTAGTGAAATTTGATTTTAATGTTAATATTTCTTGTATTATAAAATATCCGCATTTCCTTTACATTATAAAATATGTAAAATTAAATTTTGATATTGAACAAACTAGTTTATTCTCTTATAATTATTTTTAGGGTTTGCTTTTTGGCTGGAAAATTTGCTCAAGAATTGCGGGAAAAACAACCAGAACTGTGTATTTCAGATATTGACGTTTTATGCATTGAGCTTGCTGGCTTATGCCATGATTTAGGACATGGACCATTTTCTCACACATGGGAAAGATTTGTCAACATAGTTTCAAGAAAGAAGAATCTCGGAAAAGTTTGGAAGGTATTTATTTTTATTTTTCGAGTTTCTTTTGTGGGCATCCTTAATTTACCCATAAACTGTTGAATCTTTAAGCAAAAAAATTAATCAGATAATCAAGGTTGAATGCAAGTTTTTTGAATTTCAAGATGAAAGTTATGTGGCGTGAGAACAGCCTTTCTCAAGACTTTGAAAGTCTTATTATCATAATTTATATGCTTTTTGGAAATTCCTCTTTTAAAATTGCAGTTTACACTTTGATTCTTTGAACATCTTCATTACTTCTTCATTATATTCACTGTCAAAAAATTTGTATTATAAGTATCGGCTTTCTCCCTAAACGTTTTTAGAAGGGCGGCTTGCCCTATCATCCCTTTGATCTCTATAAATATGCCCACTTTGCTTCTTCTTTTTTTTTAGTAAAAGTTTGTCTCATTACTTAATACTGCATTTTTACTCAGATTCGATTTTAAAGAAATAGCTCACTGTTTGAATATTAATTGCACACTGGTAAATTTATCTGTGTTTATAGGTTTAGTTCTGATTACTATTACAAATATTTACTTTGTTAAAATTATTCTTAACTGGATTTTTATTCTCAACTATTTTCTATAATTTTCAGTTTCAATTATAGAAAAAAGCTTTCAAGTTATTTATTAATTAATAATTTTTTTTAGAACAATTTCTTCTCCAAAATAGCCTTTTAGCATACCTTTAATTTTTTTTTATAAATTGCAAATTTTTCTCTTTTTTTGGTGATATATAATAGTATAAAAGGGTAATTTAAAAATTGTTGAAGATCAAATGAAGTTATTACATTATATTACACAATTTGATAATTTTTTATTGTGTTAAGTGAGTGCCCTTTCAAAATTGAAAGTGCCCTTTTCTGTGAGGAGACACCCTGCTTTTTTCTTTATTCTTAGGGCGAACTCTGCAAGTATTTTCTAAAAAATAGGTGACACAGTATGTTCAATAAATTTTAAGTAACTTAGTTATGATATGAATTAATAGGTTTAAAATAGTGAGCATTATTCTATAGTATATGCACATTCTGTAATGAATATAAACTTTAATATGCTGGGTTTTCCTTTGAAAATTATATTTTTGTTTATTTTGTTGCAATACAGTATTTTGTTTTGGTGGTTTCAAGATCGAAATAATTCTGTCTTGAAGCCATGTAAACAGAAGTACAGTAGAACCTCAATTCACGGAGTTTCCTGTTAACCGAGCCAATAACAAAGCCTGTTTTTTTCCTTCTGTGTAAGCCACGAGAAAGACCATACTTTTTAATTCATTGTCTGGCTCTACTGCCCCCGAAAACATTCAACTTCCAAGAAATATTGCACCCTGAGAAGTCAATAGCGGCAAACAATGGTTTGTTTTCAGTGGCTGTGGGGCTCTATTGAACACCAGATGCAATGTGTTATCAGACTGTCCTTTTGTAACAATGTACTTTTGCAACAAAGAGTAACAGAATATTTTAAGGAATAGTAATGTAAAATTAGCAAATTAATGTATATTAAATTTAAAAAATACAATTAATTTTTGAGATTCGTGTTATTTTTAAAGTACATCATTTAGTTTAATTTTAAAAATTGTTAAATAAATTCTATTTCCTTTCTGAAATTTATTACGAGTAGTTGATTTCCTTTTTAAATTTGTTCAGCTGTGAAACATAGCTTTATTTTATTTTTATTATTTAAGAAACGTACTGTTGTTTTTTATTTCAAAAGATGTTAAATTTGTGAGCAAGTTAAGTTTTAAACACTTGCTCAGATAATGGAGGTTCTACTATAATGATATAAGTAGTAATGATATAAGTATATAATGAATGTTTATGCAATATTACATCTTATTTTCAAGGCAGTTATGTACTCTTTGTATGTGCAGATAAATTGCTTAAAACTCTCTTGAGTCAGTTTGAATTAGGTAAAAAATTTTATATACTGCAAAAATATTTTTATATTGATATTTACATTTAAAAAAAATAATTTTGATGTTTTTTTTATTAGTTAGGAGAAGTTTTGCTTAACAAAATAAATTTAAATAAAAAAAATGTGCAACTCTGATTTAGCATTGTTCATGGGACAAAAACATTGTTAAATATGGGAGGGAAGTTGCAATATCAGGTTTATGAAAATACCCCTCAAGTAAAAATTAGTAAAAATGTATAGAAACTAAGATAAACACATACTAAAACTTCGATGTAACTTTTTAATTTTAATAAAGGAGCCAAAGCTTTCATTTCTTTGACTTAAAGATTTTACTTTAAGTCAAACTTTGACTTAAGTTTAAACTTTGACTTAAGAGATTTTACTTGCTTATTATATTTAAATTTCAAAGATGACAATGAGCTTTCTAGCAGTTCTTCCCAGTTCTATCTCTTAATTTGTTTGATGAAGTTTTTACTGTTTTCCCTTTATTTAGCATTTTCCCCAAGTAATGCCATTTTGATTGGATGATATTCTCTTGGCAAAGAATCATTTTAAGGGAAGATCATGCAAGTTCTAATGATTTTGCTAGATCATTTTTCGTGCAAACAAATTACTTAGATTTTTCAGTAATGCTGATTTTTTTTAGCCAGGGACAAGGGCTTACGTTTTGCAGCATTTTGCTTTACAATTTCTCACTGAATGAGAAGCAAATAAAGAAAGAATTTAACCATGCCGCGTTTTAAGCTACTAGTGACCTCAAAATTACCCTTTCCTATTGTTCGATTGATAAGCATGCAGGGGTGTGAAGGGAGATAGGAATTTCTTTCACTGGTCAGTTCAATCAGGACCTGAGAATGTTGGGAGGTCCTAGAGAAGCATGTTATTAAAGGGAACAAATATAGAATATGTGATGACGCATTTTGACAGATAAACACCCCTTAAACAATAGCTACTTGATTTGGTTGCTTTTCTTAAGATTATAAAAAAAGTAATAAAAATATGATATCTATGAGGGGAAGGGATGAGTAGAAACATTAATATTTCTTGGTTAGAATGTAGGTGGGTGCTCTAAATACTAGACCTAATTTAGTTTATTGACATAGGAAAAAAAAGAGAGAGAGGTGAAATGGTGTTAATGCTCGGAAGTTATTGTTCCCGAATTCGGAGTACATTCTGAGTTCTACTGAAACAGCAATTTTCACAAATATCTTTGCTTTGTTTTTTTCAGCATGAAATTGTATCTGCCAATATGATTGACTACCTGATTGAAGAGAACAACTTATATCCTCTTCTTAATAGCTATGGTATAGGACCTGAGGAAATAAATTTAGTTAAAGATTATATCATTGGGACAAAGGTACCTTTCATTGCATTATTTTTAAAGTAATCATATAACTTTTTAAGAAATTTTTTTTTGATGACCCCATTAGTTGCAGCTAACATTCAGTTGTCTTTTATAGCCCACAGATCCCAATAGAGCATTTCTTCATCAGGTAATTGAAATGTTTCCATTATATTAAAAAAGTTTTAAGTTTCTGTATTTAAATTCACTAGAGTTATTGTAATTCATGCATATTTCTGATTTCATAATTTTGTTGCGTGTTTGGTTTTGATCCATTATTGTTATTATTGTTGCAATTTTTAATATCGATGTTTATATTGAAGTTTAAAGAAAATCTAATTAAAAATATTAATGCATTTCCGCAACAGGCTTGATAAACACACACAACCTGATAGTTTTTGGGCAATGAGAGTTCTGGAAGTTAAGGCTGCATAATTTTATAACCTATGAGAGGATGGTGAATGTGATCAGTATTATCAATTTCACAGGCAAGCTATTACTTCAGAAATAAGCCAGTACTTGCTAACCTGAATCTGAACGTTTATTGTCTTTCACATGATTGAGCAGTGCCTTAATCAACGTGTCATCATAATTTAAAATTAAACTATGTGTTATATAATTGTTTTCTTTTAATAACTTAAGTTATAATATTAATATATCTTTTTTACATGAATACTTAATTTAATCATTTTTTTAGGAGCATTATATTTAATGACTATTATTTTTGATTTATATTAATAAAAAATTGTTAGTTGCCTTAATTTTAAATTATAATTTTTTAATTAAAATCTTGTTTCATCTTGTTAAATTTTGAACTTAACATCATTTAAAAAAAATTGACAGTTATTTTACTGCATAGCTATTAATCTGGAAAAAATATGTTTAATTAAGGGAGTTTATCACCATTAATAATTGAATAACATTGTTTTCAGCATGTTTTTTTAAATTTATTACTAATTTCTTAAATACATTTCTTTTTCATTCATTAGCAAAATAAATAATTCATTAACAATCAAATATGCCATTTGCTCACAAATATAAAGCTACACGTCATATTCGCCTATATTATTACATATGGTTAGACGCTCCATTAAGAAATTGCGTGACAATAAAGGTAATTAAAAAATAAATAATAAGGTAAAGAAATGATTAATGCTGTCTGGCATCATGTTTAGCAAACAAAGACAAATATTTAGTGAAATCTAGGTTAATCTTTACATATTTTGTATTATAGTTAAGAATGAGTTACAATTTAAGAATGCACAACAATTGTTAATCGAGCCCTAGCTTCAACTGCTGAAAAGCCGGGGGAAATGAAGGAAACACGTTTTTTTTTAGTGTGCTCTGTTTGCGTTTAGGCCACAACCACTAGTGAGCAAGGCAGTTCTCATACTTTGTCACCCTTGGTGAGGCAAGTCCATCAAATATACATTAAGAAATGTATTTATAATTTACATTTTATTAAATATGTTTGTTTACATTTATGTGTTTATAATTAACACATTATTAAAAATGCTGATGTTGGAATTATAATACTAGAATTACGAGATTTTTCAAGGTAAATAGCATTTTAATCTCAGAACATTATTAAAAATTATTTTAAAATTTATTAAAAAACACGACTGTAATGCTGTATGTATTAAAATCATTCTCACAATTAAAGTAATTTATTCTTATTAGTCTGCTAGCCAAGTGCTCAGAATCATTATTAAAAGGATGTTTAATTGCAACCAGGTTAGGTCATTGTCTCTGATATTTAAACAAAGTTATTTTTTTCAACTAAAAATGCAAGTCAGTTGTTTTAACCAGTATGTAATTTTTGTGTCTCAGAACTAGCCCATTGAGTAGTCCTTTTTTTTTAATCGAAAAAATATTCCAAGTAGCAATTATGTTTATTCTGTTTATTTACATGTTATAGATTGTGAATAATGATGACTCTGGATTAGATGTTGACAAATGGGATTATTTCCTTAGAGACTGTCATTATTTGGGTTTGCCTTGTAATTTTGAGTATGAACGTTTAATACAGTTTGCTACAGTTCTTCCGGTGGGTGGAAAGTTTCAAATCTGTTTTAGAGATAAGGTAAAAAAATTTTGATTTTGATTTTTTTTAAGTAACTCAAACAGCAATTTTATATCTATAGTATGTATGTGCACTTATTATTTATGTATTTCTTTAAACATGTAGTTCTTAAGCTTTCATAGCATTTTTTTTAAAAACTCTTTTACGTTTTAAAATGTAGAGGTACTGATACAAGGTTTTAAAAGATTTAAATTTCTTGATATTTAAATTTTTTTTTTGTTAAGAAATTGTTTTCTTAATTGTACCATGTTCTAAACAAATACAGTTCAAAAATCTATGTAAAAGTGACAGATATAGATTTTTATGTTTAGTAAAAGAAAATAAATTATCAAACTATATTTTTTAATAGAGAATGTTAATAACCTACCATAATTTTAATGCTTTTAAAAGTGACAATGTGTCCAAAATTTTAAATATCTTTTAATTAAAAAATATTATACATATACTTTGCAAATACTTGCAGGCATACTGCGTTTAAAGGCAAATTGAAATGGTTCTTTTAATTCTAAGGTTTAATTAAGTTTTTACCAATTCCTTTAAAAAATGAATTCATTGGGGCTCCCAAGAGATAATCTTTTCTGTATCTTTTTTTTAAGAAAAAGTTTTGCTTCCCAAATCTTAAACAATCTTTATTTTTAAATGATTGCATAAAAAAGCTGTTTAAGTAAAATCTTTGCTGAAGTTTCAAAATTATTTATGTCTATGCATTTTTCTTGAACATTCTCTTTTGTGTAGCATTTTCCATGGTAGATAAGTAAGCAATCCTAATAGTATAACGATTGATTCAATTGCCATCTATTGCTTCTGTTGCATGTCTGAATTAAATTTCTGTTGCATGATCTTAGTTTAAATATTATGCTTTTGTAATTAATTTTATGACAACTCATAAAATTAATTTTTCAATTGAACTCATAAAGTCTCACATAAAGATAGAAATTTTACTGAAATTCATTTAGAAATACTTTTATTTTTTTACACAACCATCAAGGGAATTGCGTTATCTTCACACTCATTTTCAACTTTATTTGCATTTTTTAATGAATTTTTTTTCGTAACATACTATCCTTAACTTTAACCATTCATAAGAAAATTATTTTTTAAACTTTAAATAAAGTTGTATCAAATTAACTTACATCACAGGTAAGAATAAATTAATGCATTTGTATCCTCCGAAGAAAGTTAGAAAAGCCTCCTCTTATTGCGCTTCCATCTGCTGATAATTGAGAAAACCACCATCAGGAATAAAATGAATAAGTAACACAATTCTGCAGTAAATAAAGGCTGAATAATATCTGTTAGTGTTTTAATAGAAATAGTTTCTTTGTGATGTTAACCTGTTGTTAGTGCTTTGTAATGTTAGTACCTTGATAAACAAAAGCGGAGATTTATAGATAAATCATTGACTTGTATTTACTAGTTTCTACAAAAAGTTAAAGTGCAACCATTAGAGTGAGAAATGACTGCGCTGTTTTCCTGTATTGCTTAAGAATAATGTGTCAAATGTAAATATGATTTTTATTACAAAATTTTATTAAATTAACAGTGAAAGAGTTAATTGTATTGTCTGAAAAAAAAACCTAACAGAATCACTGCTTCATAGATGGCAGATAATTTTGCCTCAACGTAATACACTTTCTTGTTTTAAAATAATCAATTACAACTGGTTTCAAATCTGCTTTAGAATAATGAGTAATATCTGAAATATGTTTAAACTTGTGCCTGAAATACATTTTGTGTTTAGTTCCTATTACTAAATTATTTAAGCTGCATTAAACAAAAGAAAAGTCTACTTTCTTATTAAAATTCTGTGATGAGCTAGATGCTACATAAAACCATAAGTTTGTCATTCTAGAAACATAGCAATTGCTGTTTCAAATGCAAGAAATTTTTTTACCATATTAAATTTTTAAATAATTTTGTAACCTATTTGTTGTTGTGATAATGTATTTTTTTATATCAGATACCTATTTCTGACTCAATAATGGGACTTAAAGTTCTGTTGTTTTTAGTGTCTAAATTAAGTGTTTAGTGTTAGATTGTTTACTGAAGAATAAACAAAGTTTTTGTATTTTCAGGTCCTAGAGTCTGTGTATAATGTGTTTCGAACAAGGAGTAATTTGCATCGTATGGCATACCAGCATAAAATACTTACAACGATTGAAAGAATGTACTTGCTTTTTTAATTAAATAAATCAATTTATAATATTTTTATTGTTTTCTAATGTTTTATTTTTATTAATTTTCAGGATAATCGATGCTCTTATTTTATCTGATGGCAAATGTTTTGGACCTTCTGGGTGAATATATATTTATTTATTTAGTATATTTTTTTATTAGATTTTTATTACTTTTCTTTCTTAACTGAACAAAATGTGAATCAGATTAGATATCTGAAATCTAATCAGATTATAAATTGTTGTACAGTTTTTATCTTTGGACAATCATTAACAGCAATTTTAATCTTAAATTAGATTATTCCTCTAAGATTATTATTTAATTATAAAAATTGGTTTAATTTTCAAAATTATTAGCTTCAAATCAGAACTTTACAATATGTTAGTTCTGATCCTCATGGATCATGTATGCTGTTAAGTTTTTTTTTTTTAATGTGTAATTGATTAAATTAAAACAAACTGTTTTATGAGATATATATTTTATAAAAAAACTAAATAAATTTAATAATTTTATAAACTTTTATTGATATTAAATATATTAGTCTAATTACAGTCGGACCAGTTTGTCTCGAATCTCACGGGATAAGCGAAAAATTTGAGATAAAGAGGTTTCCAGTTATACAGGTAGTTTAAAAAATTAAACTTAATTAAGAAATTCGATTAAAAGTGCTTTAATTGTTTTTAATAGAACAGGCATTTCTGCAAACCACATATATCTATTTTCATTAAAAAAAAATTTAACATTTGTGCTCGATTATTAGAAATTCGAGAAACTGAGGTTTTGAATGAAAAAGTTTCGAGATGGACGTGGAAAATACATTCATTTTAAATAGTAAATTAAAAGAATCTTAGAAATTTTGAGATATAGAGGTTTTTGAGATAGACAGGTTTAACTGTACATACTTTCAAGTTTAATAAATCTTACATTTACATTATATGCTGTTAAAACCTATACCAGTAATTTCCTAGCAAAAAGCTCAAATAATTTACTGTATTAAAAAGTTTTTAGCTCCATATTTCCTTTTATGTGATAATTCTTTTTTATTTAAACACAATTTTATAAATATTCATATTTCCTTTTTTTAAACAGTGAGTTAATGTGAGTAATAAAAAATTTACCTATTCTACTTCTACATTATTATGTTTAACTCCATAACGAACTATAAATTATTCAAAAAGGTACAAAGATAGTGTCAGATCATCTATGCATTGTTATTATCTATGTATTAAAATGCCTAAACTCAAATATTAATTATTCAAATATAATGTCATTATTATATACAAAACTTTTTCCTTCACTTCAAATAGTGGATTAAATGTTTTATTTGGTGCATTTACCTAGCGCTGATCATTTCGATGGCTCCCAGAGGCAGAAAAATATACTGTGGTTAGACAAAATAATGGAAACTCTTCTCTATTAACACTTTTTTTGATCTTTTTAAAAAAAATACTTAAATAATCGTTTTATAAATTTAAAAGTGTATAGTATATGCGATTTCTCATACTTAACAACAAAGTTTAGAGATTTGAGGGACCGACAATAAGTTACTAATCTAAAATAGTGTTTTTAAACACCCTATGCTAAGAAATGTAGCAATGGATTTAAAACTTATAATAATTAATTTGGTCATTATGTCTAATAATTGCACAAAATTTCGTAATCCTCACTTATATATATTTATGGAGATGTGGACATTTTTATGAAAAACTGATTTTATTATCTTAGTTTTTTTGCTATAACTTCGATAAAATTAAACAAAATTTTTGGAGTAATTTAAAATTAATTACAAAATTATTACTTTAAAGATTGAGAAAAATTGTCGCAAGATATGAGTAATTAAAATAGTTCCTTTAAACTGCATATGAACAGGAAAAATTTTAATTTATTTTCTTAATTTATAGTAAATCGTGTATGGCAACTAATAAAAAAAAATCTGATTTGAATATCTTAAAAATGTAAAAAGTTTCATGCCTTTTTCTGAAAAGTTTAAGTATTTATTAAAAGAAATCTCAAATAGATATGACGCTTTCGCAAAATTTATTTTACACCATTAAACAAGATTTATTGAAAATGACACCTCATTATTGGGGATCATCAACCATTAAAGTATCTTTTCTTTTGTTTTCTTTCCTTATACTTTAATCATATTTTGGTTTATGAACGTTTTTTGCAAGGAGGATGCAAAATAATTTTTATGATACAAAATAATATTTATAGAAGCCCCTTTATCATTTTGAGTTTGTTTTAAAAGGTACAAAAAAGCATAAAAGTAGCATTTAAAAATTTTAAGATATTTAAATTTGACTTTTTTTCATTACTTGCAAAATACTGAGAAATGATGAAAAACAATTTGTTTAAATTTTTTTTGTGCATGCACGGTATAAAAGAACTACTTTAATAACTTATATATGCACAGGCTTCAAAGAATTTTTTTCAAATTTAAAATAAAATTTTTTAATTAATTTTATGTTGCTCTAAAAATTTTGTTAAATTTTATTGAATATTTTTAAAGTTATAGTAAAAAACCGTAAGGCAAAAAAATTAGTTTTTTTATTATAAAAATGTCCATATTTCCGTAAATATTTAATGTAGGATTACAAAATTTCATGCAATTATCGTATATAATAACCAAAGTAATTGTTATGAGTTACAAACTTATCGCTGCATTTTTTGGCATAGTATGTGCAAAAACACTATTTTCCATATGTATGTAATTTATTGTCTGTCCCTGAAACCTCTAAAAAGTTTTAAACTTCATTGATAAGTATGAGATATCGCATGATCAAAACACTTCTGAGATTATAAAATGTAAGTATATCTTGAGAAATTAAAAAATTTGTCAGTATAGAAGTGTTTCCATTATTTTGTCCACCCCCTGTATATATAAGTGTATATGTGTATACAAGGCCCGCACTTATCATTTGCTACTTAGCCAAATGCAATAAAATTGCAAATTTTGCAAATAAAATTGTGCTTTGGCGAAAGTAATCAAGGGTTATTTATGAGATGAATAATAAAACTGAAACAGTTTCATTTTGTTATTTTGTAATTATTGAAGTAATATATAATAAGCTTCGTTGATTGTAATGCTAAATCGCACACTGTGACCACAATAGTTTTTTATTGCATATATAGAAAAACTGAAAAAGTTTTTTTTTACGATATTGTTAATAATCAGGGAAATTAGGGTTAATTAATCTAATTGGCAGTATTGTTAAATAACGATCATTTGCATCAAGACTTATAATCAGTTTTCACTAAGAATTTCAAACATATTCAAACCAGCTTTGCTTGTGTTTGAGGAACAAACATATTTCTGAAGGGTGTTAGTTTAAATTTGAAGCAAATATTTATAATTTACTTCTAAGCTCAGTTAAATTTATTACATCACAATATCAAAAGATCACATGTTGTTCATTTATTCTTTTCCAAATGATTTTGGAAAATCTTTCTCTAAAAATTATCGCATTAATGACATAGAATCTCTAATGACAAACTAAATCTAATTAAAACAAAAGATTTTTGTTCATTATTATTTAATTATATAAATATATTAGTTTCTTGAAATTTTGATCTTATTTAACATGAAAAAGATGCTTTCTATGCTTTGTAATATTAAAATATTTTCCTTTCTCTCTTTAGAGAGGTATTGCAATTTTGGAATTGGAGTATTGCTGCTGCACAACCTTTGAGTGAAGGGCTTCAAGATTTTCTGAAAAAGTATTGCATTTTGACTGACGAAGTAGTGTTTTCATCTATGAAATTTTCACCCGAACAGTCTGTTAAACCTGCATCTAACATAATTGAAGCAATTGAACGGAGATCTTGTAAAGACTGTGGTTTCTACAAGCATATTGGAATGAAAATTCTGCCTCATTATATTAGTGAAGTAAGAATTATGATAATTTAATTTCTATTTCTTGTAAAAAATAGATAATTTAATTTATATTTTTAGTAAAATATTAAGGCAGTCTACTATGGATTTTAGTTAGGATATAAATTATTTTAGAATTTAATTTTGGATTTCTATTTTACGAAAGAACAAATATTCTTTAATTTCTCTTGTCGTTCCTAATTTTTCTTAAATTTAAATTAGTTTGTAATTTTATTTCTTCTTTATTTGTTGAAGATATTATAAAAGTATTTTTTTAGAAAAAAGAAATATTGGCAATCAATCCGAAAATCTCAATGTATATCAAAGTTATGCTTTACCCAAAGTTCTTTAAAATACTTACCTCTGAAGGTTATTTATTTATTACTCATTAATATTAACAAAACTTTTTTTTGTGTATATTTTTCAAGAAATTATTTCTGTCATGTAATATTTTTTTCGGGAGATATTTTTTTTTCTATGATAAAATTAAACTTGTTACAGTATCTCTATTTGGTAGAAAATGCTAAATAAAAACTGGAAAAAAAATGTACATAGTTTTATTAATTTTTGTTTAGAAAAATTTAAGTAAACTTTTTAGTAACACACATTTCTTATCTCAGTAAAGAATGTCTTATCTTTTTTTACGATTATGTTTGTTGTAAAAATAATGTTTTTTGAAGGATGCTCATTCTCACATTCATCCATATTCGACTTAAACACCGAGAAGATCGGGATATTCAAAGACATACATACATGTTATTACTAACATAAAATATTATCAACACAATCTGTGTGATCCTGCTTAAATTTTTACATAGTGCTAATTTGTACATAGTGCTAATATTGTATAGATTTTTATTTCAAAATAAGAAATCATTACATATCTTTTTTATTTTTAGTGGTATCTCTTAATGCCGCTCTGAATAATTATAATAAAAATTATCCTTTATAAATTTGTAAATTTCAGTTTAATTAATTATTACAAGTCTTTGGCAGTTTAATTTTCAGGAAGTTATTTATAAGCAAAATATACATTAACTTAAAGTTTTTTTCCCGATAATTTTAGTTATTTTTATGCTGAAAAAAATCTGATGTTTCCTATTTATTGGTTCTTATATTTTGAGAGATAAAATTTAAGCTCTTTATGTACTAGCCGTTTTGACAAAAATTTTAAATTTATATCTTGCAACTTTTTGAGACAAGGTAAATGAATAAAAAGGGTTTCATTTTTCTCAAAGAATATTTCTTTCATCTAAAATCTGGAATAATTTGACAAAAGGAATTATGCTTACAAGAAGTTTATTATGAATATAAGTTTATTTTTGTGTGAAATGTAATTTTTTTATTGATAGATAGGCTAAAAGCTTATTAATTTTCTATTTTAAGAAACTTAAGGTTTGGATGAACTAGCTCACTCTTAAAATAATCTTTAAATTTTTTTTAAACTTTATTTTTGAAATGGTTATGTAGTACAAGTATCTTACAATTATTACTTTCTCTCATAAATTACTACAATAATCTGTTAAACCGAACAAATTCACTGAAAAAATTGTTTTATTCTAAATAATTCATTTAATATTTTGTATTGTGTAATATTATTTTAAGAAAATTATTTATATTAAACTATTTAAATGTGTCATTTTTTATATTAGAGAGAAATTCATCATGGTATTACTTCTTTTTTGTTATCTGCCAATGAAGCTGTGATGCAATCAATTATAAATTCTGATCCTTCAAAAGAAAACTTAAATCTTACAGACTGCAATTTCTTGAAACCAGATGATATTTGTGTTTCTGTAAGTATTGGGAGGAAAAATTACTATGGGATTTTTTTTAAGTAACTAAACTCTAATGAAGTAGGATAGATTTGATGATTCAAAAATATCTAATACATACTCGATATAAAATGGTTTCAAAATTTATGTGTAAGTGCCAAACTAAGTTTTACCAATGCATATCTAAGCTTATTTGTTATTCAAAAATCATTATTTAAAGTAAAATATAATGCATCATTTTTAAGAATAATTATTTTAATTTAATTCTGTTCTCAATTTTATTTCATTATTTAAATCTATTGAGATAACATCTCCCAGTGGTCGTAAAAACTACATTATTATAGTTTTTTACAATTACAATTGCTTTGTTGCAAATATAGTTAACTACAAATACTCTTTTTTAAACAGTCACAGGCTACTAAGCTCACGTAAAAAGTAGGTGCCAGGAATCTCTACAAACTGGTTTTTTTTTTGTATCGCACTACTCACTACACTACAAACTACAAAAAAGTAGTGACTACCAAAGTTTCACTACTTGTAGTGCGCTTCTTCCGACTACTGATTTCCCCATTTTTCTCTGTCCTGAACATCAGAGTCACCACAGTCACGTGCTTCCTCTCATTCAGTAATTTTGGAGAAAAAAGAAGGGTGACTTGCGAGAGTTCAAATGAGTTCTCTTTTCTGGTAGATTCATGTTTTATACTTATGCAGGCAAGAGAGGAAAGTTGAAAGGTTTGGAAGTATTAAGATTAGCAGCCCAGCAAAATAAATAGCATCATTTTTTGACAAGACTTTGCTAAACTTAAAACTATTTTAATATTCCAGTTTTTCAATTCGTAGAAACTGTACAAAATTGTATACATTTTTACATAATTATTAAAAGTTAAATTTTTGAATGGTTTTAAATGCGTTAAAAATGTATAAATAATAATAACTTTTGATAAAACTTATTACAATTAAATTCAGTAGATTTCTCGAAAAATGTGAGTTATTTTGTATCCTTTTTGTGTATTAATTATTTTATTAGTTTAGAAAAAAGACGTTGAAATTTTAATCTAACATATATTTTACAACAGTACTGCATCTTGTAAAAATATGGATATCTTTTCTGGCATTAAGAGTTTTGAAAAACATTTATGGTAAATGATTTTGCTCATATTATAGAGTCAAAAAATAAAATAGAAATTGGGAATAAAAATTTAAATTAAAAAACTTTAAAAAAAAAATATGCTCCACTCTTTTCGTCTTTCCGATTTTATTTCAACTTAACACCTACGATGATAAGTTTAACCAGCTTTCATACTTTGGCTTGAATTTTCAATTTTTCATGCATTATTGCAATTAAAGAAGAGCAGTATAAATTTAAAAAGATCTGATGATTTTATCAAAATTTTTTAAGTGATAAAGAACTTTGCCTTGTCAAACAGTTTTAATAATTTTGTAATAGTGCAGGAAAGGATGCATTAATTTATAATAAATAACTCTATGTAATCATTATTTTATGATTGTTGCTGTGAAAGTTGATGAAGTTGTGTTTTTATGTGTTTTATTTATTTGCTAGATAGTTTTGAAAGTCGGTTATTCTATTATATTCTTTCTAAAATTAGAGGGAATAAAATGGAATAATCAGGATTAATATGATGTTTTGAGGAAATGGTGAACATTCTATAGTTTCATTTATGTAATAAATAAAACAATTGTAATTCCAACATGTGAAATATATAAGTATGGTAAACGTATAGTGCTTACATAAGAAATGTATAAGGTCATCAAATTTTTGTTGTACAATAATATGCAGCTCAGTTAACCAACATTTTTCAAGATTTTTGACTTTAAAATTCTCACGTCAGTTATTTTCATTAAAGTAACAAAGAGAAAGGGAAAGTAGGAAGGTTAAAAAGTACTCTCTCTTGATTCACCCAACAGTCACGTGGTCTCCTTATGAGGACAAAAATTATCTTTATGTTATATTTCACATCTATGGATAATAGAGTAAGAGAATAATAAAATGTCATGAAATAAAATGTAATGTATTTTTATCCCATTTTGTTTAAAGATTAAAGGCTACACTTTTTACCATTCATTTTTGTTTTATTATTATCATGGAAGTCTACCTGAGTAAAGGTTCTTATTTTCTTTCGAAATAGTATTTTTAAATAAAAAAAAAAATTCTTTTGAAAATCCTTACTTAAAATAAATGCAAAGTATTTTTTTTTAAACTTCTTTCTATTTAGAACAAAGAATATTCTCTTAGCTTAGTTGTTCATTAAACTTTTTTAACACATTAAAAATGTATGGGGATAACAGATACTCCATTATTTTGTTGCTAAATTATCTTGTTAAAGAAATATTTTTCCTATGTATTTTTTAAACTTATTTTCTGAATATCAAAGACGCACTTTTAAAAGTAAATTACAAAAAAGAGTATCTTTTTCTCTTGCTTAATAATCTTTTTAAATAAATGTTCTAAAAATCATTATTATTTTAACATAAATTACAATTATTGTATCAATGATTTTAGTTTTAGGTTAGATTTTATACTTTTAATAATTTCTTCACTATTTTTTTTTAAATGTTGTAACAGTATAATGGGATAACAGAGCATATAGATTCAGATATTTTATTTTTTAATTTTGAAATAGGTTTTTTTAGATTAAGATTTTGTCCACCAAATGAACTACTTGAAGTAAAATTAATCAAAATCACTCAAAAGATTTCAAAGGATTTTCAATCAAAGGATTAATTTTTTATTTAGTTCATTTTAATATATATTACTTTTTTATCATAAATAATTATCAAGTACACTTTTAAAACAAAATTTCTTTATAATTATTGTACGTATTTGAAATTTTAAGCAAAGTAGCTATTGTGCTCGTGTTTGATTTAGAACAATGTCATGTTAACAAATAAGTTGAATTAATTCTCATACATGGTTATCCTTGGCAGTTCTACCTCTTAAGTTAAAATATGTTATGCTTCAGACAGGTTTAGTATTAAAAACACTACAAATAATTATATTAGTATGTAGAAATTTAGTAATGAATTTTTATAAAATTTTAAGGTTGAAATTTATATCTTTACTTAGTAAATTATAAATTTAAATTAAAAATTTTTTTTAAAAATAATTTACTTGAAAAATATGATTACAGAGTTTTATAATTTTTTATTTCTGAAATTTTACATTCTTTACATACGTATTTTTATTAAATGTTTTATTTAATTCAAAAGGTAAGAATTAATTGGAAAATTATTAATATTATAATAATTTCATAATTTTAAAAATATTTTTTTTAGCATTTGCTGCTCTTATAATTCAGATATTTTATTATTTAATACATGTTTATCTGAAATTATTATTGTGAAATGATGTATTGCATTCAATGCTGAAATATATTTTTTCTTGACATTGGGATTTGATATTAAGCTTTATTTCAAAGTATTTTTGGACGTATGATATTGTCTTGAATAATGTATAGAATGTAAAGTTTACTGTATAGAATTCGTAGATAATGTTGATGATCGATGATAGATTTGAAATTTAATTATATTTTAAACTCGTAATAATTTTTTTTTCTGGCTGCAGTTCTTATTGATCAAATTTTCTAATATTTTTAAATATAAATAAAGTGCTAAAAAATGTGATTTTGTTTCACTTTATTTACAGGTTCTTTCAATAAACTGGGGAAAGAAGGATAAAAATCCTGTTGATTCAGTCCACTTCTACTCTAAAAACCTAGTTTTGACCAAAAATTTCTTTGAAACTTCAGCCTTATTGCCAAAATCATTTGAAGAAATTCAAGCTCATGTAATATGCCGTCGTAATGATCCTTTCGCTATACAAGTTGCTAGGCGGTGTTTGGATAAATTCTTTAACTTTTTTCATGCTAATGGGAATGGGAAATAATAGTATAAAATAAAAAAGCAGTTTTTGTAAGAAAAGTTACGAAAAGTAAAAAGTAATCAATAAAAATGCTGATCAGCACACATCACAAAATCCATGTATGTTATTTCCTGCATATGCATGCCAAAGTGCTGTTGATGCATAATATGAAAGACAAAAAAGGAAAACATGATGATGGTATATAAAGTAAGAAAGGGTATAAGAGAAGGTAATTTATGTAAAAGGATGTTTCAAACTTATTATTATTTTTTTCATTTTAAGTTCTATACATTTGACTGCTTTAGTGCTATTTATAATTATTTCCCAATTGTTTTATCTTTTCCTTCACTTTTGTTTTTATTTATACTAAAATATATATGTATATATATCTATATTAATATATTGATTTATTTATTTGGAATTGTAAAAATTATATTTACAAATAACATATGTTTCTTATTATACATTTTTGGGTCTCTAAACAAGTGCTGTTTATAAAAATGGCACAAGTCATGAGCAATGTGATTTCAACAAAGTATTTGTTTTGCCGTCATTGTACTTTAAGAATTTTTTTTAAACCAAATATATTATTTAGCATTTATATTTTTTATGCATTTTTTTTCATGAGATAGTAACTAATTTCTTGTACAGGTACATAAATTTCTAACTATTAGAGTAAGCCTAGGATAGATGGTCATAGTTTTTTTGTATGAAGTAAAAATACTAAGAATATGGAAACAAGAAATGTTTAGGCATAATTTAAGCTTCATAAACACAACATATTTTGGGCAAAAAGAATGTGAGAAGAGAATTGTTTGACAAAAAATTCTTGGTAGTGGTCATCTGTCCTTAATGTCGGGTTAAGCCGGCTATCCAGTTCAGTAAAGGAAAAATAAAAGTAACATTTAATCATGAAAAACTTATGATAATATTTAAATTATCACGTCAAAACAAAATACATTTTAGGTAGTAGTATTACTTGTTTTATACTGGTGCTCAAAATTTACGAATCGAAAGATAGTATTATGATTTTTATTAACTATCTTTGGTTTTTAACTATTTATGATTTTATTGCTATTGATTTTTATTATTTTTTTAAATATTGTATTATTTACTGCTAAAATTGCAGATTATAAACGTATGATAGAATAAATCTCTTAAAAGAATTTTCCAATTCATACACAGGTAAAATGTTATAAAACTAAATTGTCATAGTTATTTCTTTTATTAAATATTAATAAATTAATTGTGTTATTCATGAAATAAAATAATAAGTACACAAACGCTTAAAAATTTTTAAGCAAATAATTTTTCATAATTTTTTTTCCTGTAAGTGATGTAATTATAAAAAATTTTTCATGTTACATAGTCTTAATTTATTTTTGTATAATTCTAAGTTAATTATATAAAAAATGAGTGAATGTAAGAAATGCTAAGAATAGATAATTTTAAAAAAAAAAATCAATTTTTTTTCTTAAAGGTGATGTTATTATTGTTTAGAAGTTTTTTTCTTTAAATTCTTTACTCTGTTTAAGAAACAATTAAGTTACAATTGTTTAAGAAACAATTTGAAAGTGTCACTTTTTATTTTAACTTCGAGGAAATTCATTTTCAAACTTACTCTAATTATAAAATTTTGTTGCACTAATTTATAAAAATCTTTACTAATATTTTATTTTAGGTTTTTAAGACTTTTGAAAGGTTATATGAGAATATGAAAATTTTAGTATTAAACTCAAAAATACACTTAAAAAAAATCCTATATAAAATGAGCAATTATCTGAATTATTAATTGAAAGGTTAAATAAGAATATAAAAATTTTAGTATTAAACTCAAAAATACTCTTAAAAAAAATCCTTTATAAAATGGGCAATTATCTGAATTATGTTAGGTAAGGGTTACAGATTTAAACCTGAATTTTTGAAAACTGATAATTTATTTTTGCTTAGTTACCTTTTTTTTTATTGAAACAGTAATAGTTACTGTTTCAACAAAGACAAGGAATGCACAATATTGATTTATTTTATGTTGATAAATACTGTATATTACAGTTATTTTTATAATACTAATTCACAGATACTAGCTATTAATATATTATGTCTTATATTTGGTTTGCAGAGAAACAATTATTTATTGTTACCTCTTGTGCTATATTTCCTGGAAAATTTGTTCTCAATTTTTAAACATTAGATAGTTTCTATCCTGAATATCTAAATTGCTGTTTCATTAGTTTATAAATTTAAAGTAACATCTAATGCAAATTACAATTCTTTTCGAGTTACTGCAATAATACAATTCAAAAGCTAACTTTAAATAAAGAAGAATCACACAATATCTGCATTTGATCAAAATTCTTTATATGTTTTTGTTATGAGAACTAGATTGTGATATATGTCATTGCACTTATTAACCTAACTACATAAACTCTCTTGAAAATATTTTTTTATAAGTGCAATTTGAAAGATTTTTATAATAAGCAAGAAAACTTTTATTAAAAAATTTCTAATTCTTTATTTTTCCTTTCTTATATTATGTAACTCTTTCAGAATAGATTACATATTTAGTTGTTTATTTTAACCTTGTGTATAACAATGTAAGGACTTATTACAAACATTTTGTTGGAAAGCTTTTTAGGCTTTTAAACATTGTAGTAAAAAAATTCTTTACAAGAAGTCAAATAGTCTCAATATGTATCAAAAAGTGCAATATTGAAGCTTTTTTTTATTGCTGGAAATGTTATATTTCCAAATTTTATTATTTCAGAAATTGTTTCAAAATATTTTATTGGATGCCAGTGTGATTTATTTGTGATATTGTTTACTGTGAGTTGTTTTCTCTATTTTTCATTTTTTGTGAAAATTTGTTGTTGCTTTTATTTTCGGTGCTATCATAAAAGAAGATTTTCTTTTAAAACTATAATTGCAAAACTTTGCAATAAATAATGTATGTATTTTTAATTGTTATTTTTTTTCCATTTCCTACTCGTTACTATTATATAAGTTCATTCAAAACACTTAAAGAATTTTTATGTATGTTCGAGTTTTAGTTTTTAAAGAAGGAAAATGCTTAAATTTTTTTCGTTGTTGTGTGCTAGAATTATTCCCAGGTTATTAATAAATAAAAATATGAAGTTTCCATTGTTTTTCTTAATTTCAATTTATAGTGGATTGCTTCTAAGCTTATTTACTCGAAATTTATTTTGACCTGAAATTAATAAATTTAACATTTAATGTGAATGTTATATTTTGTTTATAACAGAAACTTATTTATGTTAGATTATTAAATTTTATGAGTGTTTCTTTTTTAATTTATTTGTGTTGTGTAAATTTTTCATTGTGTAAATTCTTTAGCTTAAAAAGTTTCGTTTTTCTTTATTTTTATGTGACGATTCTTTTCAATTTTATTTTTAAACTATTGAAGCCTTTGTTTTTAAAATATTTTATAAATATGTATCCTTCTGTTCTGTAAGTTGGTTCTAATTATTTGAATTTATTCAAGTTGTTCTCTAAAAAAGTTTTTTTTTTGTACATAAGAAACTAGATGGAGAAAATAGGAAATACTGTTTTTTTTCCATCTTTTTTTCTGAAATGATTTACAAGCTCAGAAATATAACTCATTAAGAATTGACAATACTGCTTCATGTTTGAAAAGTGCAAAAAATTTGGGAAAAAAAACAAAGAAAGAAAGGAAAAGAATAAGTTAAATTTGTATCTAGCGTATTCATAATATAAAACATATTTGTCGTATTTATATTCACTATTCATTTTTTCAAAGCTATTTTTATTATTTTTTTCTATTACTCAAGGATTGTGCAAATTTATGTCAAGATTTAAAATTTTTGTTAACATCCTAATAAAACATAGTTATTTTATTTTCTTAAAATAATATTGCTCATAATTTTGATGAATTTTATTAATTTATGCTTTAATATGAAGTATTAAAATTTCACAGAATATGATTAAAAAGAAATATATAAATTTTAATTATACCTATCACATTTATGAAAAATATAATAGTTATAATTAAAATTTATTAAAAAAAAACTGTGAGAAGGAGGAAAAATGAATAGTTTATAATTTTTTTTTTTTGCCAAATAGTTAAAGTTCAATTTTAAAACTTAAATTAACTTGAAATTACAACTAAAGCAATTACATTTATGCACTAGCTATAAATTTTTTTATGTATGAAATATGTATGATGTCTGATGTATAAGCAATAATATTCACATATTTAATTTTTTTATTATCTTAGTTTCTCTCTTTTTCGATATTAACAAAATTTTTTTAAAATTTTAGTACAAGAAGTTACTTTTCCATTAGCATTTTTATGAGTATAAATATTTTAGAATTGTAAAACCGATTTTGCTCTTTTCCAATTTTGTTCTGATTTTTCAAAGTGACGCTTAACTTTTTCTTATGATGTGGCTTAGAGTAGTATTTTAAGGTATTAAATGTGAATTAATAAGTTTTATGTCAAGTCTATCTTTTCTAATTTTTTATTTAGTTAGCTGACAGCTTTTGAACTAATTTCCTCAAATAACTTTTTTCAAAATCTTTAAATCTATATTACTTAACTCTATATAGTTTAGCTTTCTTTACAAACATTCTTATTTCTTTACATTATTTTTAAAAACCAGGATTTAGATTTAAACTATTGTAAGTCTGTTAAAGACTTTCAAGTTATGTTGCTCAATATATCCGTTTATTAACTAATACTTGTGTAAAAAGTGGGAAATAAGTATGTTTAGTCTCTTATATATATTTTGTCTCTTTTTTGAGAGTTGTAAACCACTCCTAGGCTTGAGATAGTTATAACTTCAGTAAAATTTGAATGTTTTATAAGAACCTGTATTTTCGTTATTGTCATTATTTGTATTACTCTACTAAAAAAGTTTTTTTTAAAAATGTTTCTAGTGCACTGCCCTCGTGTTGTTTCAAAGCTTTTTTCTGTTGACAATACCGTAATAAATCATATATATGTATATTTCTTACATGCTGCTAACAACCGTTTTTGTCGTTGTCACAGAATTTTTTCTAGTGATAACAAAATGTAGATTAATATTTATGTCTAACAAATGTGATTTAAAAAAAAAATCTTTCACATCATACATATAAATGGCTGGAAAGGGCCAAATATCTCGAGAAATATACACTGGATTCAAAAAGTATATAGGGATGCATTCAATTCTTTTTTAAAAAGCTGTTAAATGATACCAAACTCAATCTTCTACCCTCTAGAGGAAAGAGGGGGACCTTTAAATCTCAAATATAAACCCCTATTTTTTTATTACAGATTTGGATTCTCCTGAGGAAAGAAAACATATTTGACCTATAGGTTTATGCAGTTTGCTTAACAGATGGTGCTGTAACCAAAAATAGTATATCATAGTTTAAAATAGTATCTCAAAATCCATGAGATTAAAAAAAATATATTTTTGGCATTTTTTTCAAAAACAAATTAAAATTGAAATCGATAACCTCTTGCATCTCTATTTACCTGCGCTTAATCCCACCAGTAGGAAGATCGTGTTAGGTATCATTGGAGCTTTTAAAGATATTGAATACGTCTATTCTCACGTTTTTGATCTGATGATGTTTATTTCTCGAGATGTTTGATCATTTTTAAACTTTCTTACATATCCTGTAGACTGAATCAGTAATTCGAGGTTTGCCGTGGGAGGAGGTCAACAAATAAACTGATATTGTGTTTACGTTCATATATCTCCAATAGAAACATCATACGGAGGGGGCACCTTAGAATTTCACATACTTTCATGTAA